AAATGTTTGTTTTTTTTTGTAATTCATGATTGAATTTTTTGTTTTTTGCTTTTTTTGTAACCCATGATAGAGTTTTTTGTAATCCATGATTGAATTTTTTGTAATCCATGATCGAACTGTTTTTTTTCTTTTTTTGTAATCCACGATTAAATTTTTTGTTTTTTTTTGTTTGTTTTTTTTGTAATCCATTATCGAATTTTATGTAATCCATGATCGAATTTTATGTAATCCATGATCGAATTTTATGTAATCCATGATTGAATTTTTTGAAAATTTGTGATATTTTTTTTTTAATCCATGATCGAATTTTTTTTTGTAATCCATGATAGAATTTTTTGAAAATTTGTGATTTTTTTTTTAATCCATGATCGACTTTTTTGAAAATTTGTTATTTATTTTTTTTAATCCATATTATTCAAAGAGAAAATGAGAGAGATGATGATTCTGAGGCCACCCTATCCTAGCCATATTATTCACATATCGCGTCCCAACAGCAACAGTGTAGGGATGAGCACGAAATACTGTAAATTAAATGCTGAATGGCGGTTCATACAGGGAAAGAACATATCAATATTCGCATATTCATTCAAAAACATGAAAATTCTTAATGGAGTACCCTCATCTTTTATTGAATTCCTAAAAAACAATATTTATAATGAATTTTAATAATTTTTTCGAATTTTTTTTAAGCTTTATTCTGACCGATTCACACGATTTCCGATCCGGATCGCCGATTCCCCGATCCGGATCGGTTTTTTGGAAGCCCGATCAGGGTCACCGATCCTTTTTTTTAAACCATTGCTTACAACCATCTGATGTGAAGGTTGATAGCTTGGATTTGTCACAAAGTTTGATAAAATCTCTTTTGAAGTTTGAGCTTGGTCAATGGAATAATTGCAGCTACCCAATTTCACATCCAATGGTCAAGATTAATGTCTCACATTGTACCAAAAGTAAATGGTCGCATTCTATACTTTCCCTTTCATAAGTTACCTTAAAAAAAAAATTTGCGGCATAAATACTTCGTACTTGATATGAGGAATCGCTTGGGCTCGAGTGGTTAGCCGTTGACATTTGTAATGTTACATCTCAAGTTCGATTTCTAGTGTTGAACTACCAATAATGATAATAATATATGCCTTGAAATATAGTATAAAAGCTTATTCGTTTTTTTTAGCAGGAAAAATTACATGCGGGCTAATAATGTTTACCAGAATTATGTTTTGATCCTAAATTTTCAGACTGTATTTTTATTTTTATATTGATCTCTAGGGCAGTCTGGTGCTCGAGATATTGGACTAAAACTATTGTTTTTTTTTTTTTATTATCTATTTACTTTTTGTTATATTCGGTAGTTTAGATGTATTCATCACTCCAAGTAAACAAGGGAGGAGTCGCCGTCAATACCCACTTCATCAAGGATGAAATACACAGCTTTTTTAATTTTAACGGCAAAGGAAAGACAAAATAACGTGGCGTGGCGAGAGCGTTGCGTTCGTCGTCTCCTAAATTTATAGATAACAAAAGGAAAGGTGAGATCATGGGCCGGCCTAAACACTTATAAAACAAAACAAATTGTTTCGTTGGGAGTGGAGTTTCATTCTCGAAGGTAATCACTTGCGGGATGCATTAGCAAAAAACAAACAAAAAAAAAGTGCGTCACTCTTTGAGTTGAGTTGGTTATTTCTGATGAATTTTATAATGCTCTAATTGATTGATAAAAGTTTAGAATATTGTAAAAAAAAAAAAATCAAAGAAAGAAAGAAAGAAAGAAGCCTACGCATCGCCACACCCAACGAACCACTTCTCTTAAACCCAAAATCCAACAACACTAAGACATTAGTTTTTATTATATATGAAATCTCCTATTCACTGCTTTGCTCATCATAAGGCAGTGAAAAAAAAGAAGACAAAGAGAGTCAAAGGTCGGGCGAGAGTAGAAGGATGATGATTATCATGTACATGTACAAGATACATAGAATGTGGACCGACCGACCATTCTATGTGATGCGTGATTCCCCGTCCATCTAAACCCTATATTTCATAGAAAGAAAGAAAAAACAATGATAAAAGAAACCCATCGAATCACATCACATCACGGGCCGAACCAAAAACAAGCAACCCGTGAGCGAGGCAAAGGAGAGGAGATGAGATGAGATGAGATGAGGTGCCAAGTGCTAAAATCTTATGACGACCCCAACCACACACATCCCTATTCAGAGACAGAGAGAGACAGAGATGTCATGGGTGCTAAAATCTATGACGACCCCCAATTTAAGAGAGAGAGAGAGAGATGTCATGGCTACTAAAATCTATGAGGCCCCCCAATTTAAGAGAGAGAGGGAGGAGCGAACGGGATGTCATGGCTACTAAAATCTATGACGACCCCCAATTTAAGAGAAAGAGATGCCAATGGCTACTGAAATCTGTGAGAGAGAGGAAGGGCTTTGAATGGGATGCCGATTGCTAAAATATTTGACAGTCCCATGAATTGAAGGTAGAGGGAAAGCAATAGGGATGGCTAATGCTATAAACTATCCGGAATTCGCCCACACAGAGAGAGAATAATGGATTGGCATAGCTCAGTTTCAAGTATCCCTCCTCCACACGTAAGAGGAAGAAGAGGAGGAGGCCACCGACGATTGAAAACAGTCCGGGAGTGGCACGGTGGTGGTGGTATTGAGCGGTGTTGTAGCAGCATTAGAGAGGAAATCAATGGGAGGCGGATGTGAAGGAGGAAGAAGGACGGAAGGCTCTCCTCCTCCTCTTCTGAGGAGTTGGTGGTGGTGGTGTTCGACGTGATCGTCATCCCAACTCACCCCTTCCAATCCAAGAGCAGGAATGGCATCAAACCATGCCTCGTCCATGTCCATATCCCCTAATACAAATTCAGGGGAAGCCGGAAACCCATGGACCGGCCTGCTCAGCTGCTGCTGCTCTTCCAGAGCCTTTACATTTGAATTGTCTCTGTTTCTCTGTTCTAAAACTGGGCTTTTCTCTAAAGCTGCTGCCGGTGGTTGTGGTGGCGGCGGTAGAGGCGAAGAAGAAGAAGATGATGATGAAGATGAATCGGGGAGCTGTTGCTGTGGTTGAGGTGGGGTAGTGCTGTCGTCTCCTCCTCCTCTTCCCTTGTGGAGGAAAAGGTCGGGAAAGTTGAGGCGTGCATTGTCTCCCCTCAGCTTGTAGGCCTCCCTGTCGTAAGCGAGGGCGGCCTCCTCAGCTGTATCAAAAGTCCCAAGCCAGAGGCGGGTTCGGTTGCGGGGAAGGCGAATCTCAGCCACCCACTTGCCCCAGTGCCTCTGCCTCACTCCTCTGTACAGCTTGGTAGGCCTCAACAGGGCCAACGAACGTCTGTCCTGCATTTGCATCTGTTGTTGCTGTTGCCTCAAGATGGCCGCGCGCCCACGCGGGCTAAGGTTCAGAGCGTCGCTCCAATAGCGGAAGAGCTGCTCATGGTACCTTTGGTGCTGGTACATATGATGCAACTGCTGCTGGTGCGACCCCATAACCATGCTATTACTACTGCTTCTACTACCAGGGGAAGAAGAAGAGCCAGGAGGAGGAGGAGGAGCAAAAGCGATCATCTGGTGTGGCTGCTGCTGCTGCTGTTGCTGCTGCTGTAGATGAAAGAATGGCGGAATACCACCCAAACCCATTTGGGAAAAAGTTGGAGATGAAGAACAAGAGGAATCACAAGCAAATGGAAACAAGCGAGCGACAGAAGAAGGAGGAGGAATTTGGGATAGAGGAAGAAGCGCTGAGGACGAAGAAGAAGGTCGGGAAGGATGATTTTGTGATTGATCAGGGCTGCGCGCCTTCTTAAGAGGTCTGGAGTAGGCAGAGGCATCATAAAAAAGTGGCCCCTGCCCTTCCATCACCAATTGCTTCTGTCCCTCTAAAACTAGAGGAAAACCTCCCTGAGTACCAAAGGACGTCTCTTGCAACGAGCTACTGCTCCCACTCCCACTCCCAGATGCAAAAGCCATGATAAAACAACAAAGAAATGGGATTCTTATTACTATTAACCTCACCTCACCTCACCTCACAGGCATGGAGGAGGAGAATCCAAGAAAGAAGGAAACTAATTCAAAACCCAAACCAAACTTGAGGGGGGGCTGCAAAAACTTAGCCAACTTTGGAATCAATTCAATGCAATTCAATTCAATTCAATTCAATTGTATGAGAGCGAGGTATGGCGGTGGATGAGAGGAGAGGAGAGGAGAGGAGAGTAGAATGAAATCGTATCAAAATCTGTTTGATGAGAAAAAAGGGGGGGGGGNTATATGGGTACAAAGATTCAGAGAGCGGTGGGCCGGGACCCACGCGCTTTTTTTTTTTAATCTTGTTTTACATGACTCATTCTCTACTCTTCAGTACTATCTACACCACCCCCCCCCCCCCCCCTCCTTTATTTATTTTTTATTTTTGTCTTCGATTGTAATTCTGACTCGTACTTCATTGCCCTGCCTTAACTCTAAAGTGAGAGAGACTGCGGTGATGGCGCATGCGTAACTTTCTCTTCATTCTCATCCACCACCCATTTCCATACTATAAATATCTCTCCCTATATTAATAAAAAATTGCCTCTCTTTTATGAGTATGCACAATAATATCACTTAATACTCAATTAACATCTATATTTCATATTAATCTCATCTCACTCCTTACCATCTCATAATCTCCAACCATATAAATTTGTGTTTCCCTAGCATAAATCTTCCTACTACTATTGAGATAGCGAAAAACATTTTCACAATTAATTAATGGTGATGCAAATTTTTTTATTTTTTTATTTTATTGTGGGTTCTTAATAACCAATGTTATCAAATTCCGTTCGCTTCACGTCAGTAGAAGAGGCCGAAGCTTTCGAATTTTAAGCATAAACCGAAGAGAAGCAAAGTGTGGTGCTATTGCGGTCTGCTTTAGTCAAATTCAGACCACTTCAACTATGTTTCGACCAGTAAAGAATTTAGCTATATAAATGTATTTTTTAAAAAAAATTAAATTCTTTTTATTTTAAATTTTTTCCCTCATTTATATATATTTTATATATAAATATCTAATTTATTTATACTAAATTAAAAAAAAAATCTAAAATCTTATCTCTTATTGTTTCAATTTTTTCACCAAAAAAAAAAAAATACTCTAAAGAAAATCTGACAACATTGCTAACGACAAGGTGTGGCTATGTCAAACATAATGTCATAAGCTAGAGCATGTTAAATATTTAGGTGTAGTTAAAAGTTACATTTTGTAAAGTATTAAAAAGAACGAAGTTTAAAATATAAAAAATTTGTGTTTTATATCCTCATAATTTTTTTTTTCAATTAATTAAAATCGACTACACAAATCTTAATTTTACATTCTACCCTTGTTGAGTGGAGAAGGCATGGAAAACGAGGGAAAGTAAGAAACACATAGGCACATAGTCTCACTTTCGGCGCGACGGGGTGGGGTGGGGTGGGGGCGATGAGCTGAGCTGAGCTGAGCTGAGCTTAGCTTCACCCCCAGGTGCGAGGGAGGAAGAAGTCAAGGAGAAGTATCAACTCTCGCGTCGGTGCTCTTGTCCACGTGTGCCGTTATCAATGGGCGCACTCATATTGAGAGCCAATAAGATAGGCGATGCTATAATCAAATCGCGTCATGCGCGTCCACGTGGCGCCATCTTGCTCAATCGCATATACGCATTTTAAAATCATGCGACTAATGAATAAGAAAGACACAGCACGGCATTGACCGTCATACTATTTATTTGAATGAAATCAATCTAACAATAATAATTTATTAAGAAAATACATTTTTTAATGAAAAAATAAGATGAATACGAGGTTCACTCTCAAATTCAATGGTGCTGGTGGATATAACTTTTTTGTTTTTTGTTCTTTAATATGGAACACCAATTCTTAAATAAACTCGTTAGCCTCTAGACTTCACATATTTATTTTATTTTTATTTTTATTTTTATTTTTTTTTTTTAGCTAAAAAATGACAATAGTTGAGTCTAAAACAACATGATTAGAAACGATGAGAAAAGATATGGCAATTTAAGATTGTAATGAAGATATAGTCCTTAATAGAAAATAACGACCGATCAATATTCATTTAGCCTACTCCAAATAGCTAAAAAAAATCTATCATGATAATGATGATGTTTTCCTTACCGTGGTAGTTACTTATTTTGACATCACATAATGGAATGGAACGGGCACCATGAAATGTAAGTAAGAAAGCAAATACAATACTTTATTAAGCATGCATGTTGTTTTCTAATCCTCAATAGCCAATTACATTTATAAAATGCAAATGAAGTCTCCATTATATCATATTACATCACATTAAACGCCTCATTAGAAAGCACTAATCCTCATCTTCCATCCTTTTTATGCTCATGGAGATTGGCGATTGGCCCATTAACTCTATTACTAAAAGTAGTGTTGGTGAGTTTGATTTGTGGCAAATTGGACACCATTGGCTAAATTAATGTAGGGTTGATGGAGGGAGAGAGAGTCCCTCTCATCCAAGTCAACCATGGTGGGGGAAAAGCTAAGAGTCGTGAGTCAACCTCCCACTATGTTGCTACCTTGGCTTACCATGAAGCATCCCCATCGTCTTGATTAATTAAATACAAGATATTTAGTGCTGGGAAAAGTTTATATAAGGGTGAGGTCCTAATCGATCAAATTAAACACGCCTTAACAAATTCACTAGAAGGGCTGAAAAACCTTCAATTCAATCATCTCGATCTCGAGATGTATGAACAACGAGAGCCTTGGAAACAATGCATCATGTAGACCGTCAGTTTTCAAGATTTTCAGGTGTTCCCAGATCTTCTCTTTCTACACTATTTTTTAATATCTAAATTTTATAATCATAGATGAAAATAAATTTTCAGATCATCATAAAGATTAATAATATTGAAACATTATATTTTGGTACCATTTGAAGTTGCATCTTACTTTGATTGTTTAGGGGCTCGGTCTCATCAAACCACACTTTAATATTTGGGGTAAAGTGGGTAATATATGATAAGTGTCCTAAGGGTAAGGGTAGGAGGTGAGAGAGAATAAGTGACCCTCTTTGAGAATAGACAATACGTTAATGGAAGAATATGCCATAAGAAGGGCAGGCATATGTTAACAAGTCAGTGATGGAGCGTTCATGTTGCTAGATGCGAGCCTCCGCGTCCGCTTCCGCCTCCGCCTCCCAAACAGGAAACATATCGAAGTCGATCGACAAATCACCAATGAGAAAACTAAACTACAATAAAATAAAAAATAAAAAATAAAAGAAATTTATCATTCTTGTTAAGCCTTAACCCAATCAAAGTTAACGAAGACAAATAACAACAATGAGGCCACTGATTCTCTTTATAACCCCTTAAAGCATATGCATGCCAACTGATAAATGAAGTACAGTACTTGAATGAATCTTGCAGCATTTAGGCGTTTGTGCAATCATATATATAATACACTGCGGTGCATATACACGTGATGCAAATATAGAGCCAAGTCCAAAAACTTTTCTTATACAAAACAACTCAAATACTTGCATATAATGTCTTTGGACTTAAATAGCAGCAATATACTCCAGACTTGGCAACTAAATACATGACTTCATGATAATCCCAAAACAATTTCCCACTGTTAAAAACCCTATGGAGATTGAATCTAACACAATACAATGTGACTATGATAAAAAAATTCAGCAACATATACAATGATCTCATGTGACATGAACTTCAATTACACAATTTTGAATTACAAGACAAAATAATACTCAATCTCCAATTAAATAAATATGAACTAAATGTGTGTGTACTTAAATCTAGAATCATGGGAAGCTGATTATGTAACTCTATTGCCCGGTTTACCACTAGGGATTTAAATACACCCCCTTAATATTTCAACTACGGCTAGTGCAAGATCGTATATCCATGGTTAATCACATTAACAGGAAGAAGCATCACGAAGCATGAATCCACACAAGAATACTCTAACTCAAAAGTACTCGAGCAAAGAAGGGGCTGATTGAAAGAAAACGTGGGAGCAAAAGTCCATGGCATGCCAAAGCTAGAGAAGGCACTATGGCGTACATAAGTCAAGCATAGTAATGAGAGCTAGTAAAATTGAGGCTTTAAGTATGCTAGGAATGACTTCAGCTTAATGTTACACTTACGAAACATCTCAAAAAGTATAAGAAGGATTTAAGAAAATGAGTAGTTCTCATGCGTGTAAGGGCATTCAGTAGGGGCTATCTTACTTGAGGCACAATGTTAGATTGGTCATTGGGGATGGACGGTCAATTGATTTCTGGGCGGACCCATGGCTATCAGAAAAATCTATTTGAGAGTCTTATGGGTCAAATGTCCATAAGGTTCTTGGTGTCCTTCTTAAATCTAAGGTCTCCTATTATATACAGGGTTCTCCACGGACCTGGAATCTGCCATATCCTACATCTAGTCATTTAGTTAGAATATGGAAGGAGGTGGAGGTTTCTTCTATTCCACTGCAGCCTCAGAGCAATTTCTTAGTGTGGATTCATTCATCTAATGGTATGTTCTCGGTTAAGGTAGTATGGAATTTTGTTCGGCAAAAGGGCTTTACCCAGACTATATTCAAAGTACTATGGTCCTCAAAGCGTCATCCTAAAGCTAGGTGGCCCTCTTGGATGGCTATTCATCAAAGACTTCAGACTGCTTTTCTTCTTCAAAATCATGGGATCAACGTGGATTCTATATGTCCTTTTTGCAAGAATAATGATGATAACATATGTCATCTTTTATTTTAGTGTGCTTTCTCGTAGAGTATCTGGAGATCAGTTGAGTAGAGGTGTGGTTGTCGTAGAGTATCTGGAGATCAGCTGCGTAGAGGTGTGGTAAACGATTCATCCCATGAACAGCTATTGCAGTTACACTTCAAAAATGGATTTCCTTCAGATGACCTTCTGAACATTTGGAGTTCCTTTTTTTCACTACAATCTAGTTTTTATAGGAGGAGCGCATTCACAGAATTTTCCAAATGAAAGTATCAAAAAGAGAACAATTGCTAAGGAGGATCACCTCCCATATTCGTAAGTTAGCATATGGGCATTCATATTTTGGAGAAAACAATTATTGGAAATTTGCAGATCACATGGTGTCACCAACAATCTAAATCCCTTATTCCGATTGCATGGTCTTTCCCTCATTCGAACCACTTTAAGTTGAATAATGATGGGCCTTCTTTATAGAACCCAAGGCCAGCATGGCGCTTTTGCTATCCTTTTCGATATTGTATCTAACAACTATGCAGAATTTTATGCCCTAAAAGAAGGCATTGATTTGGCCATTAAGTGTGATTGTTTCCTACTACAAATTGAAAGTGATTCCTCTCTTCTAGCCAATATCACTCGAGGCAGATGCAAAGCTCCATGGGCACTTTATACAGTAGCAGTTTACTACCGACGTAATCTCTCAAATTGTATGCGGTCCATCTCCCATATCTATCGCGAGGCTAACATAGTAGCAGACAATCTTGACAAAAGGGCCACGTCCCTCTCTATTGCTATGGTTTTGGCGTGCTAGACCGCCAGCTTTTATCTCCCTTCCTTTAAGCCATGATTTGACACAGATGCGCTATAAAAATATGAATTGTATTTCTTTATCAATGAAAAATGGGCATGGGGCCTTCTCCCCCGCTGAATTACCTAAAAATAAAAAGGGAACATGAATGATAAGGCATATGGGCTAATGAACTAGGCATGCAATATCAATGAAAACTAACTTCAATACAACAAGATGGATGAATCACTCCGCTGTTATAAAATGTTTACAGCAAGAAGAAGTCCTTGGAGAAGTGAAATCCTCTAAGTCGAGCCTCATGGAAGGAGCATATACCACACAGTTCTCATCACGCTCTTGAAAACATCAAGAGAGAGGGGGGCAGTGCCTCATGATATCTCACTCTCTCTCTAGCTTATTAAGCGAAGGTGGTGGTGGTTAGTTGAAAAAGGTGGGACAAGATAGGGTTGTGGAAGCTTCAAGCTGATTAAATTTGGAGACATCCAAGAGATGAGAGAGGGCCAAGATCATAGCCCTTTAACTCACAAAATGACTATCATGTGTGTGAATGAGATTGCCACACATTTATCTCCTCTAACCCTATCTCATTTCAAAATTCTCTCTTCAATTTTAAGAACCCTAAATATGATGCCAAATCACAACCATCCATCTCCAAAATCAAAATCCACGATGTAGTAAAGAGAGAAGCAACCATAGGTGGGGTGTCCCACGCTTGTATTCTCTCTCTTACTTGGTTTTTAAAATCAACTTTATGAAAATTTCATATAATTAGCTAGCCTCAAAACTTCTTGTCGTAAAACACGTGTGTGCATAACACACATGTAAACATCCATTTGTCCAATCAAACTTTTCCGCATAAAAAGAAACTTTTGATTTCCTCCCACGAAAATACTATACTCTCCCAGTTTAAGCTCCTTGAAGGTGCAAAAAGCATCACTCATATTAGTGGTGGCCCTGGAGTCACGGCGCCATGCATGTGCCCCTTGACTAGCCACAATGGCTGTCAAAACAACACACACCCTCCCTTTCTTCATACCGGCAGGCACTAGTATTCGCCTGTCAGTTTGAGTTGTGGGAGGAGGATAGTGGCAAAAATTTGATGGCATGCACGCTCGAGTCTCTTACAGAAAAAACAATGAATCCCTAAGAAACCTTGAAAATTTGATGGCATGCACGCTCGAGTCTCTTACAGAAAAAACAATGAATCCCTAAGAAACCTTGAGCTTTCCTTGGCCCCAACTAAATTGCCCTTTGCACTTTGATTTTCATTAGTTCCCTTAGGGGGATGTGGAGATAATACGGCCTATTGTATTAGCTTATATTTCCCTTTTTTTTTTTTCTTTTTTTTTTTCTTTTTGACAAGAGTACTTCTATTTCATTAATAGTTACACAATGTTACACATATACAGAGCAAGAACATCAGCAATCACTAAGTCATTCATCTCAACTCCTTTGTTTGCAAGTTCATCAGCTACCTCATTTACTTCTCTATACACATGTTCAAAAGTAATCGACATCTGATTATTTAAACCCACAATTTCCATCCACTTAGTTCTCAACTTCCGGTGACCTTGATTCTTTCTTACACCATAGCTTATATTTTCCCTTGGCATTTGCATTTCGCTTCCCCTCCGCTATTTTATCATTCCCTTTCCATTTGACCTTAGGTTGGTTACCATACTCATTAGAACAGCATTCACATACAAATTAAGATCATGGGAGGGTTCAAGGTTGACCATACGGACTGATGGCTTCAATCCATCCATGTAGGCGGCTCTCCTCTCCTCTTCGGCCTCAAGACAACCCAATATCCTCCATGGAAAACAGGGTCTCTCAAGCCACGAAGTAGACAAAGTGGATAGAGAAAGTGGTTTGTGTAGCCAAATCGAAAGCCATGCAGTAGCATCAAGAAATCTGGCCTGGGTGAAGGCAGTAGCAGCTGGGTCTTTATAGCACTATGTCTCAAGTTCCATTCTTATGTAACTTATCAAAAAAAAAAGCTCAAGTTTGCGGACCAGGAGCTTGAAGATTCTCTTATGTTCCCTGATGTTACGATGATTGGGCAAGCGGAAATCAAGGAGCCTCCTCATGATGCGGATCTTCTGGTTTTGGGAAGGGGCGCCCTATCCCTTTTTCAACTTATCCATGATTTCCTTGGCCAATGAGCATATTTCAGATTCGCAGGCATAGCCCTTGGCCATGGTTGGCAACAATATATTCATGACCGAGAGTGTCTACCCTTTAACTCTGGTTTTGATTTTGTAGATACAAGCCACCACGTACATACACCATGTAAACAATTTGTTGGAATCATATAAATGACAAACAATGTTCATAGCTCCATACCATTACTAGACAGAGTAAAGGGCTGTGGAGAGCTGTTGTTGGGAACTGTCTATGGCCGATCAACCGGCCATGGGTCGGTTCCGAGTAACTTATAAACGGACTTGTAAATCAGTCCTACTTGGGCAAGTAAAAAGAGTTTAGTTAAGATAGATAAAAAAAAAATGAAAAAAAAAAAACTAAAAAATATGGGAAAATATGGACTTCATGTCCGTTTTTTTATTATCTACAATTATCTTGAAAATAATTAATGAAAATGATCAAAACAACATTTTATATAAATTCGTTTATAAAGACCAGGAAATATACCACACAATTTAGAATTAAGCACTGATTGATAAGGAATGACATTACCCCATAATTTAGCAAGGTGTTTGTTTTAGTGAATGCTGCTACCCTTTTTATTTTTTTTTTTGCCACATAAGCAACATTTAACTCTCCCTTGTTTATTTTATCGGCACATTGCCAAGCCATATCTTCATTCGTCAGTTGTTCTTGAAAATTTTCCTCAAAATATTTTCAAAAATTAAATTTCTTAAAAACCTTGAAAATTTTATCATGATTCACAATAGTATTACCGTGATAGAATTTCATGAAAAATAATTAAAATATTAAATATCTTCAAAAATAAATGTTTAAAATTAATATTCTTGAGAATCACCTAAAAAATATTCAATAATTCTTAATATTTTTACTATGATAAAATCTTAAAAAATTTAATTGTAAAACTAAACTTGTAGAGAGATAAAAGGGGATTACGGGGGTAATTAAAGAGAGGGAGAAATAGTGGCACATTGGTGGATCCTAATGAGGTTGAGAGTCTTGAGATTTGAAAAAAAATGAGGGATAAGATGTGATCGGTGTGAGTGCGAGTCACAACGTGTAAAGTAAAATGAAGTAATTTAGATAAGAGAGAAGTTTATATAGAGCCGAGGCTCTAAACAATCAAATTTGAGCCTACCTAAAAATTTCACTAGAAGAGATTGTTTTGATGCCCAAATATTCTCAAATTGATCATCTTGACATCAAGATGCATGGACATGGGAAAAAAATGGATTTCAAGTTTTGGAAATAATGCATTTTTGGACCACCAATTTTCAAGATTATCAAGTTTTCATAGATCTGTCGATCTACATTATTTTTGAAGCTTTAAACTTTATAAATAAAGATAAAAATATATTTTAAAGCTATCACAAAGATTTTCAATATTAAAACCACATCTATCGACTACTCTATTTGAAGGTAGGCTCTAATTTGATTGTTTAGAGTATGAGCTCTATACAAACCACACCCTTTAGATAATAGTGATGGTGTGAACTTAAACAAATAGGGGCAGATAGGGAAGAAGTGTACAAAAATAAATAAATAAAAAACTATTATAAAAGATTTCAAAAAATAAGTACGGTCCCTATAATCTATATTATTTTATTATAAAAAATAGAGAGCCCGGTTTATCTCCGACTCAGCCAGTTTCAATACAAACCAGCCGATTTATTTACCACTCTGTATGGGCAACTGACTGGTGGCCGAATCCGGGTGGCATGATTCAGACGAACCATAGTTTTTTTTGGGTAATAATGTGGCGAAAACATTCCCCTACTCATGTTTTCAAGTAAATTAAGAATTAACTCTATGAAAGTGTTTGTGGGGGTGGTGATATTAGTGGAAATGAAAACCACAAAATATGATGAACGTGTAAGCGTTTCTAGACCCTTCTGGCTCTCTCTCTTAGAAGGAAAGGCCACGCCCTTGTCTTTTCCAGAAAAGACAAGTCACGGGCACTAGCACGGGTCCCCATCCGCTTTATCCTATTCCCATCCAAGCCCAGTAGTGCCCATGCATCTCTCTCTCTCTCTCTCTCTCTAGGTCCAGGGAGGGGCACAGGACACCTACTGAAAGAAAGTGCCTCCCTTTCTCTCTCTAGAGTTTAATAATTGGAGGTCATCGGGTGGGGTGAGCCTACTATCCTCCGTAGAACAAGATAGAAAAATAAAAAAAATCACGTCGAAATCCCAAAGGCAACTCCCTATTGGTGAATGAGGTTGACGTGGCATCTATCACCACCAATAATATCATCTTATCGTCGCTCCAATAATATCCAAACTCTGATGAGTAGCCACTATAAACAATCTTCTCCCATCCTTCCAACCGAAGGCAAGGGAAGGGAAGGGAAGCCATCTTCCAACTCAACCAAGAAACAGCAACACTCACTCACTCACTCACTCACTACCGCCACCCCCATGGCTCTCCAAGCACACCTCGGTTCCATCACCGCTCCTACTCTCTCACTTCACAAGAAGGAGGTCTGCTCTCTCTCCCCCCCCCCCCCTAGATTCTTTCCAAACCTCTCTCTTATCTCAATTGGTGTATGCCATGAATACTGCAGGCCAGATGGAGTCCCTCCACAAAGGAGACCGTCTTCTTCGGAACTTCTGTCTCCGACTACCAGGCTGCCATATCCGACCTCAGTTCTCTTATTATCATCAGCAACAATAGAGTGAGATTCTCACAATCCCTTCCCAGTTGCATGTCTTTGTTTTCTGCTCAACAATTTCAATTCCTGTGCTACTCAGGATCGCACCTTTGATCAGATGCATTTTCGCTCGTATTTAGGCACTAGCTAGTTAGCATCATCTGTGATACAATCTTGCTACGGATGACAGTACTCAGCAACCAAAAGGTTGTGAAACTGACAAAGTTTGATCTATTTCGAGGGGGATCTCCCTCCTTGTCACTAGTTTTTTTTTAAAGGAAAGGGCTCTCTGTTCTTTTATTATTCAAACTCCTATTTATACATTGAGCACTGTCCCATGTAGTAACAACTTGTTCATATTCAAATTAACAACAAATCTATTCAAATTAAGAAACTAGCCCAAATTGAATACCCTAAATCGTATTTAAAATATTCAAATCTATTTAAATTAGTAACTATCCAAGCTAATCCACTAATTGTAGCTACAGGTTTCCTAACAATCTGCCTGGACCCAAACAACTAAATGAAGTATTCTTGGGTGTCTGTATGCGCAGAGAGCGTTGAAGCGGGGTTGTGTGAGAGCTCAGACAACCATGACAACAACTCCCGCCATAAACAGGGCAGCCCCAGAGGGGAAGAAGACACTAAGGAAGGGCAGTGTGATAATTACAGGGGCATCCTCAGGTCTGGGGCTGGCGACCGCCAAGGCCCTGGCTGAAAGCGGGAAATGGCATGTCGTTATGGCATGCAGGGACTTCCTCAAGGCCGAAAAGGCTGCCCGCTCGGTGGGTATGTCCAGGGAAAACTACACGGTCATGCACCTGGACCTTGCCTCTCTCGACAGTGTGAGGCAGTTTGTCGACAATTTCAAGAGGTCTGGGAGGCCGCTTGATGTGCTGGTCTGCAATGCGGCTGTCTACCTGCCCACCGCAAAGGAACCCACTTTTACTGCAGAAGGCTTCGAGCTGAGCGTGGGGACCAACCATCTGGGCCACTTCCTCCTCTCCCGCATCCTTCTCGAAGACATGCAGAAATCTGACTACCCTGCGAAACGCCTCATAATTGTCGGCTCCATCACAGGTAAAAGGAATATACATATATATATATATACACTCTTTCTCAGAACTTGCTCTAAAAGTAACCGAGAGCACTCACATGCTTCCAAAAAACCCTAACCCAGGTAACACCAACACCTTAGCCGGCAATGTGCCCCCAAAAGCATACTTGGGGGACCTGCGGGGACTATCTGCGGGTCTGAATGGCACTAACACCTCGCCTATGATTGATGGTGGAGACTTTGACGGTGCCAAAGCTTATAAAGACAGCAAGGTGTGCAACATGCTAACGATGCAGGAGTTCCACCGTCGCTACCATGAGGAAACAGGCATCACCTTCAATTCCCTCTACCCTGGCTGCATCGCCACCACCGGCCTCTTCAGGGAGCACATCCCTCTTTTCAGGCTTCTTTTCCCCCCCTTCCAGAAGTACATAACCAAGGGCTATGTCTCTGAGGAAGAGGCAGGCAAGAGACTGGCACAAGTGGTGAGCGATCCAAGTCTGAGCAAATCTGGGGTGTATTGGAGCTGGAACAAAGATTCCGCCTCCTTCGAGAACCAGCTTTCCCAGGAGGCCAGTGATGTCGAGAAGGCTCGCAAGGTCTGGGAGCTCAGTGAGAAGTTGGTTGGCCTTGCTTAGCTTGAATCAATCACCATTGTTCTTTTCTTGGGTTTAAGATATTTTCGTCAGAAATCTTAAGCCCCTAGGGGTTTCCCAAACCTCACACAGCAGCTTTGAGCTGCTGCTTGTAGTAAGATGCGTCTTTGGAATTTTGTAATACCAAACAGTAATAACTGATCCCGCGCACTCCCATGCACAGTGGCTAATCAAATGTTTCATTACAACAGTTATGGAATGTCAGTTACATTTTGTTGTCGTCTTTGATTTCCGGACTGCCACATGAGCCTGGTGACGTTTCATGCGAATAATGGAAAACCCTTAGCTGGCTTCTATGGCCGCCAAACTTAGAACTCTTCACTCCTACATCTGTCCCTTATTAACCACCAAACCACATTATACAAGAAACTAGTAAATGAATGTACTCACAATCATAATCCCAATGTTAAGATGATACTCTGAGAAACACATCTGGACGGTTGGATAATACACTAATGCAAACCAACATGAGTCATACATGTAACAACCCAATGGTCCAACATCACTTCTATATGTAACACCTACAACCCAACAACCAGACTGCAAGGTCCAAAGCAACTGAACCATAAACAGCATAGCAGCGCAACATATTAACAAGCAGATAGACCTTTGATGTAAGACTGCTAAGCCAATATTGCACAAATAGAAAAGCCTCATTACCTCCCCAAAGCCCCACCCAAATAAAGATCCCTAGACAGGATAGATCATAGCATGCAAGCCAGATAGTCCCATGGTCTAATCTCACTCTTTTGTAGCTTGCTCTAAATTGAAAAGCATCATTCAGGCCCATATGAATTAACACCTCGTACTCTAAAGCCATACTTTAGAAACTTTGACATGATAAGAATGCCATTCTTGGGGAACGTTTTACTTGGTTGAGTAGTTTTTTTCTAACAGTTCTAGTTATTCTTGAAGAACTCCAAACAACGACATTTTCTCTTTGATAACTCCAAAGAAATTCCACAACAGTAAAGGAAATGCTCATCTCCGACATCCATTCTAGATTATAATGTAGTGGTAAACTGGACAAATTATACAATCTCTTAAATGAAAAGTGTACTCATCCTTGTAGTATACTATTTGCATACCTCGTGCAGATGCCACCACCTATTCAATGACGAATGGGGCTAATTAATCATTTTCTTATTGATAAGAGAGTGCATGGAAATTCTGCCATATGATTAGGAATTGGTTCAAGGCTAGGTGGTCAGAATGACAGGGCCCACAACATAAGGTCTTGAGTTCCATTCTGTGGGTAGGGGACCTCTTCCTCACTGAACTACCCACCAAAAAAAGAGGATCAGTTATTAAAATGAGCACAACAGGGTGACACCCTGCATGATCATATTTAAGTTTGTAGCACCTATAGTTTCTTTTCATTACTTTTTGCGTGCGTCATGCAAGGTGAGTCACAACTCTAATTCTTAGGAGATTTCATTATACATAACATGATGTAACCAACTTGTCCACACATTCCCAACAAAAAAGAGATGTAGAGCAAAATTCTTGAGCAATATGGACACTTGACAATGTGAAAAATTCAAATCAAATACTTAACCCAAGAAAAAAATAAATAAATTTCACATCTAAAATAAAAATAGAACCTATTTCCATCAATTTGCTTGTTCTTCGAAACACATAACCGCCTGCTCCTACCTTACAGTCCTTGGTTCCTACCAGATGGGTAGATAAACTGAAGGCCCGATGTGGTTTGAAATTAAAACAGCCTGACCATTATAAACATACAGTGCCACAAAAAATTCGGGCTTGACATACATATTATAATATCTAACAGAGATGCTCAGCGAAGTAAGCAATGGCAAGTGGTGGTTATCATAGTAGTAGCAGTACTATACAAAGGTTATGTCCTCTTGATCTTTGAAAATGTTCCAATTTCAGAAAAATAGGTGCTCTGAGTTCCACTACCAAGTTGATTGGCAAGTGCCTGAGGATTGGTCAGTTCAATTCCCTGCAATAAATACAATGGCATCTCAGCACTCACCAAAGAAACACAATGGTAATACCTTTTCTTTTTTGGCAACATGAAAAAATAACAATACCAAGGCAGCACATTTGAGAAAATGATAAAAAAGAAACAAAGAGATCACTTACATAAACCAGTGTAACAGGAACAAAACAAACATCCCAAAAATATTAATAATCTTCAAGTGAAAACACTATTACAATGGCTGTCTTTCAGAAGCCTGATTTCTGGATAGTCACATCATTTCTCTGGTAGGAATTCTATGCAATGATCATGCTTAGGAGTGAACACATCTCCTCCAAAGGAGAATCTACTCCTGGTTCTTAGCTCTCTATGAGTCACAAAACCCATAAGCTCAAAATTCTGAGTGTTAGATATGCAGCTTGCTTAATTGAAGTCCATGAACTCTGGACAAATTCGTAGATGCACCAGTTTATTGCTCGAGTTGAGACATATTTTTTTTTATGATATGAACATACAATGTCACAGCTGCATTTAACTTTGTTATACTACCATCCAACAAGTAAAATTTAACTGTGTTATATTACCATCCAACAAGTAAATTAGAACATCTCAGCATACCAAAGCTTTCTAGAGGATAACTGGGTTCTGATCAACTACCAAATCCACATAAGACCACCCAGTTCAACATACTTCGAGTCAGACCAAATCCTAACCCCATAGCAAGACGACCTTGCAATTACAAATGCAGTGGAAATCGAGCCCAGGCTCTCAAAAGGACGGAGAGTAGCTGATGCAAGCCAGAAGCAAACAGAGAGAGAGACAATAGAATACCAAATAAAAATCAAGGTTATAGTATATTCCGTAGGTTCTATAGGCCTGAAACAAGAATAAACTCACCCAAAAAAGTGTTGTAATTGCATGATATGGCAGAAAATTTTGTTGAGAATTCATTTGTGAATTGTGCATAAATCAATTGTCCCATCTATGGGGCTCCCAAAAAATAAACAAGAAACAAAAGTTTAGGAAAATCTTCTCCTAGGTGAAACTCGGACCTGAAGCAAAAGGACTCTTAAAAATTCTATTGATTATCAAAATCTGAACTTAAGTATAGGACTCATAAAACAACTCAAAGTAAGCAAATCAGCTGTTGCTGGCAAGATTTGGGAAGCTAAAAAAAGAAAACCTACCTAGGAAAATCTATAAAAACCCAAAGAACACCGAATAACCATATATTTTTTAAAAAAAATCGAAACTCCAGAATTCCTATGTTCCCTGAGGAACACAAGATACTCTAGAGTGAATTGTGACAAGAGGAAATCATGACACTTTTTGGTTGTACAGGAGGACACCTAAACACTCCTGTGTGGTAACACAGACTGTAGCCATGAGAAACCACCAAACCAAGTGACCACCTTTCGGCAGCAACCATCAAACCCAACCTCCACCTCGCAACAGCAACCACCACCAGTTCCAAAATCCCCTGCATGCCAGAAATCATAGAAACCCCAAAAATCCCCACCACATGAGAGGTAGGTACCTTGGAGGGGCTCGTTTTCCTCGCCCAACCCCCAACCCCTTCCACCCCTCTCGTGCTCGCCAGCAGAACCCACGCCTTCACCAAACTTCTGCCCCCAGTCATCACCATTCTCGCCAGTTTCGCCACAACCCACATCCCCTCGCCTCTCATCTACAGAATCACTCGTCTCAGTCCGCCGCTCAACACCACCACCCCAGCATCAGCTCTTTTGACCCTCTCCCGGCTTCCCCTACCCCTTCATCACCATTGCCCTTCCCTCAAGCCCTTAACTCAAAGAGAGATACATGTGGTCTACTCAACCCCAAGGTGAACCCCTCTCTGTCCAATCCACCCCCACCTACTCCTTCCCTATCCGCACCTTTTTCCATCCCGGTTGGAGGTAAACTTTTTGATGCCCTCATTCTTTTCCTGAGGTTCTCTCTAGTGGGTTGGCTCCAACCCCAACGAAACGATGTTGCAGGCATCCAAAGATGGGCGTTGGATATTTGGGATGTGGCTTATATTTCATGTCGAAAACTCTCTTCGGGGGAGTTTCTGTTCTCTTTTCCTTCAGAGACCCCTTTGTTAAAAGCATTAGACAACCAAGGGGCTCGTTTTAAAGGGGCATATCTCTCGTTGTCCAGGTGGAACAAAGTCAATGGTGCTGCCAAACCCCAAAAGCTCGGGCTTATAGCCACCCACATCCCACTACAGACCTGAAACGTGGAAACCTTCCAAAAAGATTGGGGAAGCATGTGGTAGATTCATCTTGGTCCATTGGCCTTCAGCTGCCTCACTGCCCGCTTGGTTCCATTCGAGTCCTGATTAAAGTTCTCATTCCGGAACAGGTCCCCATCCACCTACGACTCGAGACAGACGGGCTCTTTTTCAGCATCCCAGTTTCTTGGGTGAAGGCTTCCCTCCCCCTCGCCTTGCCATGTTCAGGACCTCGGTATTGCTGGGTCAGGACCACGATACCCCGTTCAGTAGGCTACGGAGGAGTGGACCATGGTGACTCATGGCCGTCGATTAAGAAATCCAAGAGCTCATAAGGATTATAGGCAACTGCCACGATGTGCCCCTTCACAAATGGAGATGGTCAATGCTAGGTCCTTCGTAGGCGAGCCACGCATCGAATGTTCCAGTATCCATACGCCAGAGTCCATAGAAACCCTTCTTGCTCGGCTTACCACAAGGTACAAGCTTCAAGCTCCAAGCACAGTATTGTACAGACCCACATGGCAGCCGCCACAACAGCCAATGATAAGCGTCCAACTGAAGGAGTGGCTGACAGGTGCCTGACTGCTAGACCACTTTCCACTTACCACCTTGTTGCCTCTTCTGGAGATTTGATGCGCGTTCACGCTTTGGTCCCTAGTCCACCAATCTAGCAACCCTGTCACGGTAAAGGCCCTCTCCATCAAACAGTGGTTTTTAACTGTAGCCCACCCACCTCGCAACCTCCTCAGGGACAAGGATCTCTTCATCCTACGGTGGATCTCACCCCCAACTACCACCCTGCTGCCTCTTTTGGAGATTCAATGCGTTTTCACGCATCGGCCCCTAACCAACCCATCTTGCCTACCACTCGTGATATAGGCGCTATTCATCTGACGGTGGTTACTTACTCAAGCCCACCCATCCTGCGGCCTCTTAAGGGACAAGGATCTCTCCATCGCACGGTGGACCCCTCCTCTTGTTCACCTGCTCACGCTCTGAAGCCCTCCCAACCAACTTTCTCCTCATCTTGTGCCTAGGGGCAAGGGTAACCCTTATTCAATGGTCACCCTAACCCATCTCATTCTGGCCTTAGCCTTGTACCCTTCCTTGACTTACCACCACTTTGTGGGCCCTTCCCAGGGTCTTCCTCTTATGCAGGCTCTCCATCTACGAACCTCTCTCTACCTTTGCCTTCGACGCAAGACACCCCTTTGGCAAAACCTCCACCTTCACAGCCTCTCGGTTTGAAACAGGTAGCCTCACCTTTCGCGTCTATCTGGAAATTGAGTCCCAAAGATCTTGGTCCTTCACCCTTCTCCCCCTGGAGGGCCCTTTGGAGTTACCATCGACAGCCGGGACTACGATGGACCCCCCCCCCCTCGACGATGAATCCTCGGCTATAAGGGACAGTTCGGGGCCTATCCTGTCTCACAGATCCCCTAGACAGCAAGACCCATCTCTCTCTCCTTTATTTTCCTCGTCTAGAGACGAGAATGGAGAGATCAATCCCAAACAGACGCTCTGTCCAGATCCCACCTTTAATTCCCCCAAGGAGGCGATGGGGTCGGCGTCTCAATTCATCCACCCCAACCAACCTAATGAGATCAGCCCTGCAACCACGCTGCACCCTATGCTTCTCTCCCCCATTACCCCCATTCCTATCCCTCTACGCATTCTTATCCCCCCGCTTTCAGAGGTCCCTTTCAAGATAAACTCTCGCCCTTCCACCCTGTTTCCTGTGACTACAGCCCTCCACCCAGTGGCCTCCTCCCTCGGAGGGGTCAACCCTTTCTCCTTATTCCTCTCGGCTCTCCCCCACGAGATCTTTATCTCACTCTGTGACTTCGGTTGACTCCACTTTCTTCCATGACCTGCTCCGAGCACAAGGTGACCCTTAAGAGGTCATGAGAGTGATGGGCTTCAAATTCATGGCCCTAGAAGACTTCATCAACGCCGATTTAGTCTCATACTCCACTACCAAAAATATAAAGTCAATGGGGGAATGGATAACCTGCTAGCTTTTGGAGTCAACTTTGACTCTGGACTTCCTCAGCCCCTTACCCCTCGTCCTTTTGCTCTGAACCACTCAACCTCGGCAACCCCTTCTCAACTCCCTTCTTGCTCAAGGAGGACCCATACCTCATCTTTCTCCCAATGAAAGTATTAATGTGGAATGTCCATGGCCTAGGCCAACCGCTAAAAAGAAATGCGGTTAGAGAACTGTGCTAAGCACTCCCGTTCCCTCTTGGCTCTGTGTGAGACCAAACTACCTTCTCCCACTCTTTCCGACATTTTAAGCATTTGGGGCTTCAGGCCCTGCAGGTGGACTGCTCTGGAACTGCAAGGTGCTTCGGGTGGCATCTGGATCCTTTGGGATCCCACCCTACATGATCTGCTAGATTATGTTGTAGGCCTTTTCTCAGTTACGATGATCCTTTCCAGGGTCTCTGCTAGGCTACAATGGAAATGCATTGCCTGTCTATGGACCCAATGCCGACAATCTTAGGCCTTCCTTTTGGGCGGAACTACAAGCCATCTTCACCAGGTCCCCAGCCCCTTGTTGTTTGCAGGGGGGGGGGGACTTCAATGTCACGTGTTGGTCTCATGAGCGTAATTCAAACCACTCCATTTCCCCGAGCATGGTGCAGTTCTCTGATTTCATATCTCACAACCACCTCATCGACATACCCCTTGAAGGAGCCCAATTTACTTGGTCGAACCATTCCATTAACCCCTCTCTCTCTAAGCTTGACCGCTTCATCACCTGCCTTGAATGGGATCACAC